TGTGTGTGTGTGTGTGTGTGTGTGTGTGTGTGTGTGTGTGTGTGTGTGTGTGTGTGTGTGTGTGTATTAGTGCTGTCAGCGTTAATCTCGTTACAATGACATTAACGCCATAATCACATTAACGCTGGCTTGAGCTCAACCTAATTTCAAAAATAAAATAATTTCTGGTGAATTTTCTCTTTATTGTAGAGCTAAAATACATCTTAACAGTATACACGAGGCACTTTCAGCCCCTTCGTTATTTCCCACGAGACAGCCACATTAAATAGATCTGCTGTTTGATACTGGTTTTACAATTCCCAGCTGCCTTTCCTGGTGCAGCTGTTCCATTGATCTGGGCTTGGGACCAGTAACAGAAGTACACTAGCCAGACTTTCTAGTATATTTTTTAAACAGGGCTTGAGCAGCAGTTTTTAGCAATTAGCTTCATCTTTCTATCTGACCAATTTTAGAAAAATGTTTTTGGTTTTTTGGGGGGGGGGTTGGGGGGTGAGGAAATAGGTCATTTAACACTGACCTATTTCATTCAAGCAAAAAAAGGGGTCATAACTCAATGGATGAGAACAATGAACAGTGTCAGAAAGTCGTGTCTGTAAGAAACAAGAAGGGAAAAAAAGCAAAGACCTGACAAAGGATCTGAGAGATGCATCTGGTCCTTCAGTTTGTCATCTGCTCACCAAGGTCTCACCAGAAAGGCCTCAGTGGAAGAGTGGTTGTCATTTTTGTCTTGTATACTGTATTTCCATGTATGTTTGCACCCATTTCTCCTTTTTTTCCCCAAGCAAAATATAAAGCAATGAGGTGTGTTGCAGGATTTTTGGACAATACTGTAAAAAAGACATTTATATCATCTATATATGTCTCAGTATGTGTTGCAAGATCATTTATTTGCATAAACTTTAGACAGTTTAGATGTATTGGCCCCTTAAATGATCTGAAAAGACGTAAAACATCTTTTACATCATCGTGAAATCTATTTAGTTGACTTTTCAACATGTTTTTGCTCATCGGTTTATGTGAAAATCTAAAGCGTATTGACTATGAGCATTAAAGTCTCCAGGCAGACACCCAAAGAAAGTCATGGCAGAAGTGCATATATCAGGATACACCTGTGCCACGTGTTGTCCACCACAGAGTAAAAAGCTCATCATGGACGTAGGGCTGCAGTGCTTCCTGTTAGCTGAAGAACCATCTCCATCACCATTTTTTTCATCAGTAGTGAGCAAGTTCTTCAGCTTGACAGCACAATGCTGGTAGGAGAGTTTGTCTCCTGTGAGGCTTAAGAAAAAAGAATCAACGTCAGAGAGTTTTCATGAGTCACTCGAGCTCATTGAGTGGGAGGTTATTATAAACCTGGTGTGAGACTTATTATGATGATGCACCTTGGTCAGTTATGATTTATTTAGTGACAGTGTCTGGTTCCCCTCCTTACTCAGGTAAATGAAATTTACTCCAATGTTAATGAGCTGTGCAGTAAATTCAATCCAGCATCGCAATAAAAGACCCAAATGCAAAAACCTAAGTA